CAAGATCATGTCCTTGGAAAACCTCAAGGTCATTCCCCAGGCGGAGGTGGGCAGGTGGCGCGCTTCTACTAGCGCTATTCGAAAACAAAATAATACGTTCTGAATTCCATAATCTCAAATGAGGTTGAAATAATAATAACACAAGATGTTGTCTTAGTGTGCGTTTACAATGAACGTATACGTAAGAAATACATAAAACGTAAAAATTTCGCAAAGTTGAACTGTATAGAAACATACGAAAGTGTTTACGATGAACGTAATTTTTACGTACGTATATGTAAGTCTTGCGCATAGTCGCAAGGGTTGAAAATGTTTCAAAGTTACGTACGGTCAAAGATCATACTATTATGTAGTATGATCTTTGGTTTATTGTAAACAGTGAAGTAAATTTACGGAAACGATACGGATATGTAGGAGTTACGGTTTATGAAATATTTACGTATACGTTCATTGTAAACGCACACTTCCCCAAATCGTCGATGTTTTATTTTTAATAATTTTGATAATGGCATATGTCAGACATTTTGACAACTTATTCTACAACACCTGTAACTACTGCAGCAGAAATATAAATTTGATTGGGGAAGACAACATCTTGTGTTATTAAAATAATTAATAGTAATAGTAATTTATGTTTAATTCGGATTAATTTCAGATAGAAAATCTGTTCGACTCCCTTAAACATCTTTGATAATTAGTGAAAACTACTATTGAAGATCTGTATGAAGACCAATCTCGCTGGGAAAGAAAGTTTTGATGCCGAAAGGGAAAGAGGAAAGGATTAAAGTTCCAATCGCGTTCGGAGTGGAAGAGCAGCTTGGGCTTTATCTGCGCACAGGGCTCACAATTTATTCTTGGTTGTGCTTTTCTTCGTATACCTACATTATTAAAACGTTCATGAAAACACCACATCTACAAAGAAGTTCTATTTAATATTTCTGATTTCAAATGTATAATTCTGCGAACAATGCGAACCGGTAATCCTGAATATTCAATTCAAATGATAAATGGCATGTACCTAAAAAACATCAAAATGGGTATAGCTACGTTCCGGCATAACGTACCATTAATTTAATAAGAAAGAGGTGATTAGATAGTCTCCTCCTTATGAATACATTAATAACAACCAGACATGCTTTCAATGAACAAACCTCAGCATTTAATGAAAAATGTAAATAATATGAAATTGTGACATGAAATTTAAAAATTCAGGATTAGTCTTAGTACGAGAAAGAATAAAACGATTACTACATATAATTCCACTTCTCAAAAAAAATTGGGCAACCGGTATGTTTGCACGTTACTGGAGAAATCGAAAAAAATAACACACGCCTACTTTCTGTCAAGCTTCATCCGCAAGAAATTTTCTGTTTCCGGTAGCTGCGGTCAAATTCGAAGTCACGAATGTTGTAAGATATGTTGCCTAACCATAGGGGCATTTCAGCACAGTAATAGTTGTAAGATATACTGGGTTTCGCCTTCGGGTAATTCCAGCCTCGAATTTGATCAGCCTCTATATCATTTAGCATTTCTACATTTCACACGTTAGCAAGGCAAGTAAGATGGGCTAATGAATCAAAATAAAAATTATGGTCATGATCGAGTAGGTTAAATTAATGAACGGTTCTGCTAGGGAAGTGATCGGGTAAGAAGAGTCAGGAAGAGGGACAAGGGAAAGCACAAAAAAGTGGGAAATTGTGAAAGGTGTTTAAGATATAGGGATGGGGATACAGTTATTGTATAAAGACAGTGGGGCCATAATGTCGGCCCATCTTTTTTAAAATGTATTATTGAGCAAGAAAGCAAAGAGGGCTTGGACAGGTATGTTTTGGGCTTCAAAATCAGACCTTAAATTTTGTCCAAGGAGATTGCCGTTTGCCGCTCATGAATCGTGGTGCTGTGGATACGGCCACGAAAAAAGCAATCAAGGTAGTGGAAGACAGCTGGCCTTCCTCGTCCCAAGTAAAGTCAAACTCACCCTACCCTCTGTCTAAAACAGTTTTTCACTAAAAACGGCATGAGGTCCATTGCCCCCCCCCCCCCCATAACCGCCGGATCTAGCCCCGTGTAGTTTCTTTTTGTGTACCAGACTTAAAACGGGAATGCGAGGAAAGCGTTTTGCCACTGTGGAAGAGGTAAAACAAAATCACTAAGAGGCCTACAAAATGTCCCTATAAAGTTTTGCACAATGGGGACATAATTTGAAGAAGTGCGTTGTAGTCAATGGAGAACACTTTGAAGGTGATCAAAATTTGGTGTGAAAATATTTTGAATAAAGAAATTTCCGTGCTTTGGGTATTGGGATCTCGTATTATCCGTGTGATGTTGCCCTCTATGAGTCGACGACTAACCGTTTATCCCTTGGAGGAAGTCCCTCACAGAATTCCGATTATGTTTCGTGTTATATACGAGAAAAAAATATGAAAAGGTCAAAGTGTTTCATTCCTCCGACACCCCCAGGGTTTCCTTTCAGCCAGAGAACGGGAATGTAAGGATGGGTAAAGTTAAGGATGGGAACGGAGTTAAGATGTTGAGGGGAAGAGTACTGCTCATAGCTTTCGCCTCGTAGATTTCAACAAGCTAGCATTATGCGAAGCTACATACGAAAACCCTCTAACAAAACCCCAGAGCAGTCGGTAGGACGATTCGAACCCACAACCTCCCGAATAGTAGTCGGTAACGCCACCACTGCGCCACCGGCTCCGGTTATAGCAGAAGAGGGTCCTCTAATTAATTTTTCTTTTGTTAAAGTATGTGGTTCTGTTTATGATAATCGACTTTAACATGAATATTGCATGATGCGTTTTCACATGTACTTTAAGGTGTTAAATTAAAGGTAGCCGAGGCTAGAGTAGAGCCAGGTTATTGTTCTTTTATGTACTTCATAATTCTACGAGTTGTTTGTCTTAATTGATCATAGATCTGTTTATGTACTAAATTCATTTCATTTCGCTAGTTTGCCTTTTACATTTAGATACGATATCTCCTGTGATTTGTTTTATTAATTTGTTTAAACTGCATTAGACTCGATTACCGATTTTATTGTACGATTTGAGATGTTTGATTTGCGTATTTGTGAGTGTTATGCCAGGTTTTTTATCCAATGAAAATTTTTTTTCCTAGCCTTCATCGTGCGTGATATATTTCATTTTCTTTATTCCATTCGCTTTTCGATTGTGTCTCACGTCCAAATACACAAATAGAACCATATAGGAGTTCTCTATTGGTACCACTCAATCCTAGCCCGTGTGGCGCAGTTCAGTTAAAGCTGAATTGTGGTGCTAACCCTGGTTCGAATCCGGGTTCGGGTATAGATATTTGTAAATGTATAGTGGGTTGGGTTGGTAGAGCAGCCTTGGTTGAAACACCGCCCACTCAAAAATAAAAGGCAAAATAAAGTTAAAAAATTATCGAGATGTGATGTGGTGCGCAACGTCCGATATGTCGATATGAAGGTTAGATGGCTCTGCTTGTAACTCGACGTGTAACTTTTCCCCAGACCTGCCAGCTGTAAATATAGGGCAAATCACGATTCCAGTATCGGATGGGTGCCCCCTAAGATCAGTCAATAAAAAACGCTGCTATGCTTATTTTTGTTTTGTTTAGAAATTTACCTTTCATAACGGATTGTGATTGTGAAATCTCTGAATCAGTGAAAAAGCCTTACTTTGGCATAGAATGCAAATTGTCTACAACTACAGAACTACAATAAATGGTTCGCCGGTTTTACCAACTTTGCAACTATTGCAGCTACTAAAAACCGCCCCTGCAATGCAATATCTCCCTTATTAACGTGCGTGTGCAAAAACAGGTTCATTTTCTAAAACGCAAGTGCGAATCCTCCGCCAAGGCTGGGAATGGTATGGTTAGTTGCCTATATACCCGCAAATCATTACTTCTGACCGCAATAGTAGTTGGCAAAGATTGGTAATAAAGTGTGAGATGAAGGGAGACTTCATTGAACCCTCGGCAGAGGTGAAGGTACGTGCAGGATGGTATATGCTTGTCTAAAAGAAGTATATTTTACCAAATTTCTGATAAGTGCGTATTACCCAGTAAAAAATAGCCGAAGAAATTAACAGACGGAGGAACGGGCAGATCTAGAACTACTCGAAGATATCGGCAGAGAGGGATCTATAAAATTATAAAGTAATGGTGTATCTATTAATTAAGTAGATTATTTAATTATTGTTTATTATCTCGCAAAAAAGTTCGAATAAACTAGGAAGATGTTAATCTAAAGTTTCCTAGTGGAAGAACAATATCAAATATTATGCATGCAAGAAACCATGTCCAGGGCTCGTCGGGAAGCTACACCATCGTTGATAACAGGACTGTAAGTAGAGGGGTATGGTACTAAAATAGAGCGTGGATTGACCTAGGTGCACTATAGTTCTATTTGTTACATCAGTGAATTTTACTCCAAAGGGGCCCATATACGGTACGATTGATCTGTCGAATCTGTCGTTTCAGACCGGTCGAATCCACGAATCCATAGCAAGATTTGCTTGCTCGAATGGGGTATCGGTCATCGCAACAAAAATCCAGGAATTCGATGTTTGTCTGAGTCTGACTTATTAAATTATTTGGGCACGTATCGGTCCGTTTCAAACATGTAAATGATCGATCGTAACGACCAATCCATTAGTATATGTGAGTGGTAAGCTTTGAGCAGTCTACCCTCACTATATCCTTTTAGATTGATCGTAACGACGCATCGTTCCTTATATGGGGCCTTTAACACAGCAATCCTTTCTTTAAGAACGAGCGCAAAGGTCTTGCGTAATTATGCTACTGCAGTGTAGGTATTTTCTTTAAATTTTGACGCATGAATCAAAAAACCTTATTTCCAAATGTTTTTATTTTAATTGTTCATTATCGACTAATAGTTCGATATAGTCTAAATACATCTGCAAAATTTCCGCTTGAACCAATAAATTTAGTTGGACAATTCATATGAGTGGAGGAATATACCTTTAGGTCCTAAAAAAAAGGCAAAATACGTGGCAAAATTTACTATAATCCTTATTTGTTCCACAAAAAACTTGACTATCTACAAAAAAAAACTTCTTTCAGGTATAATACTTCATTTATAATACACATTTACAGAAATAAATAATAGTCAGTTCCATTATCGCAGAAATAAATAATAGTTGTATATGTACAAACACTGGGGTAGACGGTAAAAGAAACGGCGCGCGCGCGCGGCAAAACAATAATTTTACTTTAATACGTTGGCACATAACACAACATTTTGGCACGTCTAATTGGCACTATAAATTGTTTCTATTTTATTTAAACTCTAACAGCGGAGGAGGTAAAACGGCTATAACAATGTTTGTCACTCTCATTCCATATCAACAAAACCAACGCTCGCGATGCAATCTGCTATACATTGTTCGTAGTTTAATTGAAATTATGAAGTTTACGTTTCACTATCCACATCACTCGCACAATCCTCGTCCATTTCCATATCGATATACTCGCCATATTGACTATCTTCGCCCGTCGTCTCCTGTTTCCACTTCGTGACGTGGTGCTGATTGTTTTGCGAATTTTGCGTGCCGCTCGTCTTGTTGCCGCTTTGATTCGATTTGGCCTCCTCCTCCTGTTGCATTCTTTTATGCTTCGTCCGTCGATTTTGAAACCAGACCTTCACCTGTAACAGAAACGAGCCCCGTCAGTGAAATGTGCGCGACAATTAGTATAATTAAATTGCGATTGTTTCATTTACGATTTTCGTAATTGAATAATTACTAGTGCGGCAAATTCGTTATTTAGCTTTAATTACATTATAGTTTGAGCCGGGTGTAATTAAAGCAGGGCGCCACTGCGTGTGTGGGTAGACGGCTTCAGTTCAGTATACACACACCACACACAACAATGGTAATAGCAACCCTATAAATAGTCGTGTTCGAACTAAATTACGCGTTTTACATCTGTGATTAAATTTATATTATGATGTCAAACACGTATAAATTTATTTACAATTATAAGTCTGTATCTTCATATATGGACGCTATTAGAATATGCATGGAAACATTTGACAGGTGAATGAATTTCAACATAAAACATCCGTAAATGAACGCTGCATATTTTTAAACAAAAATCATCGGAGTTAATACATAATTGCCAGACGAGCAAAAAAAATCGAACAGTGTATTATAGAACTTTATCCTTGCATTTTATGTCAAATCGAGCTTAAACTCCAGACAATGACTGTCTCCACGCCGGAAGCAGACTATTTTTCCCCGACTACAACGGAAGTAGCGATAAAAATGCGAAAAAATACGACTTTGCAAACTTATGTATGGTATGTATAGGCAGGGCGAAATGAAATGTTTCATGGATGATTAATCGGTTGTGTTGTATACAGTTTTGCTGCAAGCTGCATGTTAAGACGGATTGCATAGGAAATCTAACGTTTCAAATAATTCAAAATGGTTTCGCAAGGGGGAATATCAACCTACGTCGAGATGGTTAGTTTCGGGAATAACTTCCCTCGTACATTCCGAATGTTCTTTTTGGCATAGGTATGTCGACTTGAAAGGGTTGCGATGCAAAAACGAATCAAGATCGACGAAAGCATACAACTGCTCAAATATGGTTCCGAATGGTCTCCTTTCAGAGGCGGTCCCACTTTCTCCCGGAAAGTGGGGAGGTTTTTACACAAAAATGGACCCATGTATTATATGAAGAGACGATGTTCATTTTAATCAGTGGATTCAAATTTTGCAACACAACAAGCTATGTACGAAAGGCATAGCTACTCATTCGGCCGGTATTGCTACTTAACTAATAATAAAAACTATGTTGTTAGTTTACAATGTTTTTAAGGCATATGATAGTGTTTTTTTTTGCAATGAATGATGTTATTCTTTAAAAAAACATCCAATCACATGCCTTAATAACATTGTTAGCTGACAACATACTTAAATATGCTTTATAATACCGGCCGTTAGTCTTTAGTCATAGGTACTCACTTAAGCCAAAACGAATATGTCTTGGTTTCTACGGTTATTTAGACGACACATACAAATATTTTATAACTGTAGGATATCCCACAAAAGTAAAGTATGCAAAACCGTTTCAACATTGTTTTTACGCATGCTACGCCACTGGAAATATTTTCCCGGGACGTGCAGTAATTCAAATTGCACAAGGACGAAAGTTCGTAAGTGAATCCGCGTCATCTCTAGCCTGAAAAAGAAGGTAACGGAGTTTTAGTAGATGCAACAGAACGTAAATTGTTGTTGTTGAGTGTGTTTATTCCTCAAAACGTACGTAAATGTATCTTTTATGTCTTCCTTTGTAATTACTGTTATTAGCATAGGATGTATGGTAATTGTTTTGTATTGCTTGCTTGCCGATTTATTAGGGTATTAGCTTTTATAAATTTGAATTTGCAAGACCTTGTAAAACGTTGTGGAATTCGTAAAATAAGTTAACAGTTGAAGTAAGGACCGTATTTAAAAGTAGGTAACTTTTATTTATTTGTTAGGAATGTAACATAAGTAATGTTTTTTTTTGTACGCAGAAGTTGCATTGAGAACGGCGCCGGCGCTTCAATTGCGTTGGTACGAAGAGCGAGTTAGGAAAATTCCTTTAGCTTAATTAGTAGTATATGTTGACGTCAGGATTAGATTTATTATTTGTTAAGGGAAGGTTGAAGATTAGTATAAGGGAAAGTTGAAGATCAGTACAATGTAATGTAATTCGGTACATTTGTGTGAAGTTTGTTGGCGTTTACTGTTTCTTATGTTTATTTATATTGTTTGTATAAGCATATTTTACAGTCAATTAAATATTATTATTATGTGTTAATACAAGTGAGGGCATATTGCAGTTAGGTATCGATACTTAGTAGAAAAGGTGAAATTCTTCCATAGATGTGGGTGAACTTTTAGCGAAAATGAGAAAGTAGATTCATTGCGGTAGAACTGTAGCCAAAAGCTCAAAACGGTAGATCTGCAACTGACCGCGGTAAGCCCACCACACATTTGCGCAGGTCTGGTCACTTTCAGTAGTAAAAATATAATTGTGCAATGTCGCCACGTGTATAGCTAGCCTCAGGGTTGTTTTTTGAAAATAAAGATTGCTCCGAACGGGCCGCGACAAAGTTCGCACTTTAATCGCGGAGGGTGTACTTTATTTTGCCTTTGGAGATCCACGAATTTTAGTACCAGGTGAATTTTATTTTGTCAACTACTCAAAGTGCATTTTTTATGTTTGGAGATATTCGCACATAGACTTTAGCGACGCCAAATAATTTTTTTTGTGACCGAAAGAAATTTGTCGCACGTATACTCGTGAACTTTATGAGACGACCTATCGCACGGATTGGATCTAGTTAATCTGAAAACGCAAATGTAAAAAATGTTCATCATCGCGTAGATCAGAGCTGGCCAAAACGTCGATCGCGATCTACCGATCGATCGCGGCGATCTTCCGAATCGATCATCTCATCAGCTTACGCTTAGCTTAAAACGAGTGCGTCCAAGCGACCAAAACCCTACCATTTTGATAAAGAGTAGGAAGAAGACTTTTTTACCACCCACACGTTAGTAAATACCTATTGCATTGGGGTAAAAAGTGACCCCCCCTCTTTTTTGACGGAAACACACGTTTTGGGGCACCAGGAATCCGAATCAAACAAAATCTCGATAATGTTGGTCTGTCTGTGTCGGTCCGTCTGTACTCTCATTTCCGGCTAAACGGCTGAACCGATTGGGACCAAATTTGGTACACTTATTCTTTACAAAAGGGCAGAACCGCCAATACGTAGGTGTGAGGGTGGTATAGCAAATTTTTTACAATGTTTAAGGATACATTGGTGTGCTTCTTTTTCTCCTTCCTCTTGCAGATTTTGTTTGATTCGCATTTCTGGTGCTTCAAAGCGAGTATTTCCATCAAAACATTGGGGAAGGGGGCATTTTTAGCCCCAATGCACTATATCTCTTTACTAATGTGCGGGTGGTGAAAAGGTAGGTAATCTGAAGGGAAATTTTTTGAGTGTACATTAAAAATATGCAACTTTCCATCACAATCAGAAATAAGTGCCCACCATCAGAAATACGACGGACTAAAGTAAAATGAAAACTCAATTACACATCATCCTAACAACAAAAACCTTTTTACATAGTAGAAGTAGCTGGTAGATCGCGAAGGAGCTTACTTGTGCAGAGTAGATCAAACGATACAAAGGTTTGGGCACCTCTGGCGTAGATAAAGGAACTCGTATACCAGCCAATATTGATTGATCTATTCTATAGGGGAGACAAAATCTATGGAGGTCGACGCAACATCGGATTAAGATGGAAATGTAGAAGGTACTGTAAATTCTTTTTTATTACCTATACCTGAATCACAATCTCCGTTTTAAACACTCAAATGCGTGCAAAAAAAGGCCTTTAAAACACACGTGCTCTAAAGTTGCTAAGTAACGATACTTCAAGTATGACTTTAGAAACTGTCATCTAGGTGAAATAAAAAATCCTCTTAGGTCGCTTTTTGTAAATGCAGAACATTTCTTTGGTTTGTACCTATCCTTTGGTTGAAGCTTTCACAAACGCGCCTAATTTAGGGTATGCTTCCAAATCTGTTCCACTTTTTAAAAGCAGCATTGTTTGAAGTTTTGAATGAATGCACCAAAAGATAGAAGATTTAAATATCTTTGAGATTTCCTTCATATATACCAGCATTATCGATGCATTTAAGACTTTATTCGTAAGTAACTTCCTATTCATCCATGGAAACAACTTTTAATATTCTTTATAATAGGCTTTACTGGATTTGTATTTTACACTTACCAACGTTTGTTTAGATTTAACAACTAGCGATTTAATGGACGGTGTATTATCTTTTTCGACGGAAATCGTTTTATTCACAGAGACGATGATTTTTATAAGCAAACGTCAAGTGACATTTCCATAGCAATCGTGAAATTACGAACACCCAGCCCACTTAATTAGACATGTATTCGAGTATAACGTCAATATGATTTCATTCTATTTTCTATTTTTAAATTATACTGCAGGTATAATAAAAAAATACTATAAGATACACGTGTATGGTCTTTACAGCGCATGCAACGTTAAGCGAAATAAAATTAAATGCTCCTTTTTTAAAATAATTATTACATGTTTTGCCAGGTTCATATGAACTCAGCAGAACACTACCTCAAAAAACCAAGAAAATGAAAAATGAACTAACTATAATTAGGTGCTAATTAAGTGCCCTATCTCCGAATTAAATGCTCCTTTTTTTAAATTATTACATGTTCTGCCAGGTTCATAATTTAAAAAAAAGGAGCATTTAATTCGCGAATAGGACACTTAATTAGCACCTAATTATAGTTAGTTCACATTCATTTTCTTGATTTTTGCGGTAGTGTTCTGCTGAGTTCATATGAAGCTGAAAAAAGGAGCATTTAATTCGAGGATAGGGCAGCTCATTATGAAATATGTTTGATTGTGTTCTGCTGACCTTGCTCTGCTAGGTTAATGGACATCTAGCGCACCTGATTTAAAGTTATCAATTTATTTACTAAAAGCTGTTAATTGTAGGTTACTTGACTCTCATTTTTTAGGTAAGCAAAAAATCGAAAAAAACATAAATAGAAATGGATGCATAAAATATGAATTGAAAATCAATTTTTAT